ATAGAACTCCCAAGGGGACACTTTGCATATTAGCCTTTTATATATTTAGATTATTGACTATTTTTCTATTCAGTACTTTACATCCCCATGACTATTTTGTTTTGTTTTGTTTTTTTTTTAAAATATATTTTATTGATTTTTTACAGAGAGGGAGGGAGAGAGATAGAGAGTTAGAAACATCGATGAGAGAGAAACATCGATCAGCTGCCTCCTGCACATCTCCTACTGTGGATATGCCTGCAACCCAAGTACATGCCCTTGACCGGAATCGAACCTGGGACCTTTCAGTCCGCAGGCCGATGCTCTATCCACTGAGCCAAACAGGTTTCAGCTATTTTTAAATAAATAAATAAATTTTATAAATAATGTAAGTATATGAAGAAACAGGTACCCAAGACACTGTTATGTGTGTAAATTGGCGCCATTGCTCAGGATGGTGGTTTAGGAGGTGATGTTATGAGGATACTCCTGAACATAAACAGTGGAGTGTCCTTTAAAATCAAAACAGTTCAGCCAACATTACTTCCTTTTCCAGTGTTAATAGCAATGGGCAGGGTCAAGAGATAAGGCCCAAAATCTGGAGGAAGGGATGATTGCGATACAAAGGGGAAAGAACACCAGACCCCAAGACACTGGGTCCCACTCTCCGACTAAGATCCCGGCGGTGGTGGCTCCCAAGCCTGCGAGCCCGTCCAAATTACCCTGGGGCGCAACTGGAACAACAGACTCCTGCGCCCCAGCCCAGACCTCCTGAATTTGGGTATCTCCAAGTAAAACCCAGGAAACGGCATTTTGCCGACAATCAGGGAGCAAGTCCCCATCGGGTGTGGGAGCTCCTGATGCCATCCCCTTTCCCGCCCGTCTCCAGATGCAGGTGTGGGACACCGCAGGCCAGGAGCGCTTCCGGACCATCACCCAGAGCTACTACCGCAGCGCCCACGCGGCCATCATCGCCTACGACCTGACCCGGCGGTCCACCTTTGAGTCCGTTCCTCACTGGATTCATGAGATAGAAAAATACGGAGCTGCGAACTTGGTCATTATGCTGATCGGTATGGAGTTTCCAAAGGGTTTAAATTTGTTTTATTGGCCCCCTCTGCTGACACTCAGCTTTTTGTGTGTTTCTGGTGGCAGGGAAGCATGAAATCATAAAGTGCAAATGGTAAGAGGGCCTCAGAAAGCACCTGACCCAGAAATTCCATCAGATTCACTTGGAAATGAGAGGGGGTGGTGTGAACTTGTTAAGAATACAGATCCCAAGGCCCCACCCTAGAGTTTCTCATTCTGGAGACTTGCTCAGGATGGTGGTTTAGGAGGTGATATTATGAGGATACTCCTGAACATATAACGTGGAGTGGTCCTTTAAAATCAAAACAGTTCAGACCTCTCCGTGCAGGAGCCCCAGCTGGTTTGCTGCACAGTCTGTGCAGACCACACAGAAAATACTCTGTAGGCTGAGGTTCCCAGGCAGCGGCCCCAAACCCCTGAGGGAGCCATTCAGATGAATGTAACGGACACACCCGACACACACTTGAATGACTTCTTTTTTTAAAAAAAAAAAAGTTTTTATTGATTTTTGAGAGAGGAAGAGAGAAGTATCAATGGGCTGCCTCCTGCACGCCCCCTACTGGGGGTTGAGCCTGTAACCTGGGCGTGCACCTTGACTAGGAATCAAAATGGTGACCTCTTAGCAGACTGGATGATGCCCAACCAACTGAGTCACACCGGGGCTTGAATGACTTCTTATACCTGTAAAGACCCTAAGTGAATCTTAACACACCAACATCAAAACTAACAGGAACTTCAGCTACACAAAGTGAACTTGCAGCTGGAAATGTGAGCCAGTCCTATTGTACATTCAGAGAGAAGTGTTAATGTTTCTGTTATTTCTCTAGTAGTGTTTTCGTTTTGCAGCCTTTTGGTGCACAAAATGATGCCCAACCAACTGAGCCACACTGCCCCAGTTCTTTTTTTTTTTTAAATATATTTTATTGATTTTCTACAGAGAGGAAGGGAGAGAGATAGAGAGCCAGAAACATCGATGAGAGAGAAACATCGATCAGCCGCCTCCTGCACATCTCCCACTGGGGATGTGCCCGCAACCCAGGCACACGCCCCCAACCGGAATCGAACCCGGGACCCTCCAGTCCGCAGGCCGACGCTCCATCCACTGAGCCAAACCAGCTTCGGCCCCAGTTCTTAATTGATTCTAGAAATGCCCCTAAAGATGACCTGGACATGTCCCCATCACCCCAGGGCTAATATAAGGGGGCTTTCTGTTTTCTGTCATTGGCCTCCGTGCCTTAATCTAGGAAAGTCAAATGTCTTGTTCCCTTACGGAAGTGTTCCCATCCCTTTTACTGTTTTTCCATTCTGTCTACCCCAGCCCCTGGCAGCCACTTCCTGCCACACAAATGGCAAAGAGATGACTGTGCGTTGATTCCTACTGTTCCTCCCCCTCAGCCACTCACAGGAAGCTCATCTCCTCGGTGATGTGATGTCCCTCTGTTTAAAATCCTCACTGGTCCCCCAGATAACACACAAATTCCTGAACCCCACTGACAAGCTCCTGCTTTCTTCCAGAGATGGCTGACTGGCCTCGTGTCTTTTTCTTGTCCCCTCAGCTCTGTTCCTGACCTAACTCTTCAGACCTTCTATCAGAGTGAGGGGTCAAGAAGCCAACATTCTTCTGTAGGCTACACTGGCTACTCTGTCTCATAACTTTCTTCAGCATCTGCTATTTGTCCCCTTAGGATCTTGGGCAAACCTTTCACTGACATTCTTTTTTTTTTTTAAAATATATAAACCTGTGACCTTCCCATGTATAGGACACTCCAACCAACTGATGAGCCACATTGGCCAGTTTTTGTTTGTTTTTTATTGATTTTTTTACAGAGAGGAAGGGAGAGGGATAGAGAGCTAGAAACATCAATGAGAGAGAATCATTTATCAGCTGCCTCCTGCACAACCCCAATGGGGAATCGAGCTCGAAACCTGAGCATGTGCCCTTGACCAGAATTGAACCTGGGACCCCTCATCTGCAGGCCGAAACTCTATCCACTGAGCCAAACCAGCTAGGGCCACTGAAATTCTTTTACAGTTACAGGTCTACAGTCTCTCAGTGAAAACCCTGAAGGCCAAAGATTTCAGAGTCCAGAATTTGTTGAATCTTAGGAGGGTGCATGCTATGTTACCTAACACCCTCAGTAGTTTCTGGGCCAACATCCCATGGTCAAATACATTAATATATATGCAGTGAAATATATGGTCATACAAAGAAGGTTGAATAAAAACTTCAAATGGCCAGTGCAGGGCAGATTTTACTGTCAGATAAATTACCAAAAAATGTAGGGGTTTCAGAGTTTTTTGGATTTGGGAAATGTGGATAAGGGATGGTACACCTGTAAGGCTAACAACTTGTACCATTTACCTGGTCCTTAGGATGTGTTGTTTCATGGCCTGTCTTGGATGGGCAAATTCTTGTATAACTATTTTTTATTTTTTAAATGTTTTTTGTTGATTTTAGAGAGAGAGGGAGAGGAAAAGAGAGACATCAATAGCAGCCTCCTGCACACACCCTACCAGGGATAAGCCCGTAACCTGGGCCTGTACCCTCACCTGGAATCTAACTCGCGAGCCCTCGGTGCATGGGACAATGCTCAACCAACTGAGCCACACGGGCCAGGGCATTTGGCTCTTTATTTTATTTTATTTATTTTTACATATTTGTATTGCTCTCAGGGAGGAAGGGAGAGGAGAGACAGAAACATCAATGATGAGAGAGAATCATTGAGCAGCTGCCTTCTGCACACCCCACACTGGGGATCAAGCCCACAACCCAGGCAAGTGCCCTTGACCGGAATCGAACCTGGGACCCTTCAGTCCTCAGGTCGATGTTTTAGCCACTTGGGCCAAACCAGCTAGGGCCATTTGGCTCTTAAATTGTCCAAGTGTCTCTCTTGCCTCCCTAACAAGATGAAGAACCCCTTTCTCGGGGGCAGGACCCATGCAACTCTGGTGTCCACACAGAACACTTAGCAAGCAAAGACTCAAACTGCTGGAGCAAGCACATGTTTCTTTCCCTCCCACCAGGCGTCCTGGCTTGTCCTGAGGTGTGCAACCACCAGCTGTTGGGAGGCAGAACAGGGGACAGTCAGTTAACCAGGGGTGGCCTGGGGCAGGTGGGAGGAGTAGTCAGAACCAGTGCAAGCAGCCCAGAAGCCACAAATCAGGGTGAGGGGTGGCCGAGACTCCTGGCTCAGGATTCCTACTCTGGAAGCATCCCTAGCCCAACCAAGAGACTCTCACACCTTTCTTCTAGAAGTAGGGCTATGCCCTGAACTTAAACCTCACAAGCTATAAAAACGCGTACAGTTTTCTTGAAGCTACATACCTGAGTTAGTTTCCTGTAGCTGCTAATTACCATCAACTGAATGCCTACTTGTAAAAACAACAGAAGCGTGTTCTCACTCGTTCTGGAGGCCAGAAATCTGGGATCGGTATCCCTGGGCTGAAATCACGGTGTCAGCAGGACCATGCTCCTCTGGAGGCTCTCAGGGGGAATCCGCTCCTTGTCTCCTCCAGTGGCTGTCAGTGTTCTGGGCTCGTGGCTGCCTTTGATTTCTCATCACCTCCTGTGTGTGTGTACTCAAGTCTCTCTCTATCTCCTTCCTGTAAGACTACACATGATAGCACTTAGGGCCCACCAGCTAATCCAGAATCATCTCTAGGGCTCAAGATTCTTAACTTAATCATATCTGCAAATATTTTTGCAGATAAAGTAACATTTACAACTCCCAGGGGGTAGAACCATGTGTCTTAGGGACCATTTTTCGGCTTACCACAGTCCCAGGAAGGGTATTTAACCTTATCTGGGGAGAATTATGATAAAAATCTAGCTTTGTCAATGACCAGGCTGGTGCCTATGATGCCGAGTATTTTTTCTTTTTCTTTTCTTTTTTTTCCCATCACCATTTATCCCCCTTATACCTTCTTCCACCTCCCCCATCCTCCCTCACAATCCTCTGGCTGGTGGGAGGGGTACCAGCCACCCAGGGACTTGCCCTTGACGGGAATCGAACCCGGGACCTTTTAGTCCGCAGGCCGACGCTCTATCCACCGAGCCAAACCGGTTTCGGCCCTTTTTTTCCTTTTTGCTCAATCCATCCACCTCACTGAACACCGCCCTCCCCCACAACAGATCTGTCTGCCGACTCTCTAGGAGAAAGTATTTTTTCAATCTTTTTTATTGGGAAATAATGCATAGAGAAAAGCATGCAAACACTGATATATCACAAGGGGAACACTTGTGTAAACACCACCTGGGTCAAGAAAGAATGCACCCTGCCCCCCAGCTCCCCTTCCTGTCCCTCCCAATTGCCTCATCTTCTCCCCCAAAGTAACCCCATCGTCGCTTTTTATGACATCGCCCCATTTTCTTTATCAGCCGTTCTACTTTGCTATTGTTTTTGAACCTTCTATAAATGGCATAGAACCGAGCATCGTTTTGTCTAAGCTTCTTTCCCTCAACATTACTTTCATTTCTCCCTTCTGTTGGTGATGGACATTCGAGTTGTTTTCAGTTGGGACAATTAGGAAAATTGCTGCTCTGAAGGATCTTGTATGTGTATGGATGCACATGGGCTCATACTTCCCTTGGGTACATACCTGGGAGCAGAACGGCATGGTCTTGCAATGGTCTCACTCTAGTGGATAATCTCAAACCACTTGCATACTTGGTACACATTCATCAAGACCCACTGAGTGTCCAGTCTGTGCATTTTGTTGTATGCAAATTATAACTAACAAAATAAGTCATTATACATTCCACAGCTTCAACCCAAGAAATCCTGACAAGTTCCAGCTTGACCAGGTTCTATCTCGGTGTCCAGCACTTTGTAGTTAGGGAAAAGGAGGAACGAGATCCGAAGGGAGGAGAGAGAAGAGGGAATCGCTCTGGCACCCTCTTACCTTGTCACACGTAGGAGAGACGGCCCCTCCCAAGAATACGGAGGCTCCACCTGTCCCAGCCAATAACACACACCTCTGGTCCATTCCTCACAGCTCTTAAAGATCTTAAGAACAGTGAATTAAGACAGTGGCTCTGTTTCCACTCATCTGTGGTTTCATTTTCATTAAATTTGGCCTCAATTACTATTTGGGAAGAAGGGCATGCATGTATATTGCTGAACTAAGATGTTCTTTCTAAAGTTCATTTTTAAAAAATCAGATTAAGTTACTCAATGCAGTATTTGCTTCTCTCTCACTCCCAGGGAACAAATGTGACCTGTGGGAGAAACGGCATGTTCTGTTCGAGGATGCCTGCACGCTGGCTGAGAAATACGGCCTCCTTGCTGTTTTGGAGACATCAGCTAAGGAGTCCAAGAACATAGACGAAGTCTTCGTGCTCATGGCCAGGGAGCTGATCGCCCGCAACAGCCTGCAGCTGTATGGGGACGGCGCCCTGAACCACCTGCCCCTGGACTCCAGTCCAGTCCTTATGGCCCAGGTGCCAAGTGAAAAGACCCACTGCACTTGCTGAGTGCGGTCCCCCAGCCAATAGCACCCGCCAGAGGGCAGAGCTAAACCAAAGGTGGCGGGTCTTCTAGTGTCTGCTGAGTAGCATTTCAGACCCAAGTGTAGACTTGCCACTAGTTCTCAATCCTGGCTTCAGACAAGAGGCCACAACAGCTGACTCTGAGGCCAGGGGATACCACTGTCCTTTCCGATTTTGCCTTGGACCTAAAGGCACAGGGTTAGGAGGACAAGGTTTGCTCTTTTTCATCTCTTTTCTGTCTCCCCAGCCCTTCAACTATGTTTCCACCGACTCTTGCTTCTCACTTGAAGAAGAGGGTAGTGAGGAAAGATCAAAGAGGGGCGAGGATGCTTGGAACACTCCGGAACAGTTTAGAACAGCTTGGTCATGGGCAGATGAGAAAAAAGCCTGCAGTGATAAGCCAGAATGCCGTTAACATTTGCTTCCTGACAGTCACACCTCAGGGTTTTGGTTTGGGGAGCAAAGCCTTTTGAAATGAAGACCATAAATACCTCTTGCCAAATGGTCAGGAGCCATGTGATGGAGACAGAACTGGATTTCACTTCATTCTATTTGGGCTGATGTGGGAGACGTCTACAGTTCCTTTCCAAAACACCACATTGGCTGCTGGATCAGAAGGCATTTCTGAATAGTAATTAATTTGGCTCACAGATGAATAGCAAACCAATATTGACCTCACAGTATGGCCCTGGGCACACCATGTACCTGCAATACACTGTGGTTTTTCCAAGTTCTCCCGATGGTTGTTGCTGAACTGCATCTTACAGTCACAGTAAGAACCACAAAGGCCTGTCCAGCCACATCAGCTCCAAAAAGGGCAATGTCTCTGGGAGCTCTCCCCAGGCCCAGGTGAGTGCCCCCAGGCATTTCTCATTGATAGCAGCACAATCGATAGGCTGAGACCTACCTTCACGTCTGGCTACTGAGTGCTTGAAGAGAGGCTGAGCAGGACATGCCATTAATGGCTCACACCAATTTCCCTTCATTTCTCTGCACATCAGTCTCAACCAACACTCTGAAAACCTCATCAGCATCTAGGGTTATGCACTCAGGATTACCTGGAATTGAAATGTTCCTACCAACAGGTAAACATGTGAAAACAGGGTCGCCTGAACGCCAGGAGCCTGTGATTAGCCACCTGGGCTTCTGTTGAAATGATGGGGCTGTGACAGAAACCCTCGAGGACACGGAAAGGGCCCGGTGTGGAGCAGCTTCACTGGATTCGGGCGGCCAAAGGTCGGCTCCAAAGAGGCAAGGCTTTTCCGAAGCTGAGCAGTCTGGTTACCTGGCCTGGGAACCAGCTCAGGCAGGCTCCTCTCTGTAACTGTGGTCTCAGAAAGCTACATGTTAGCTCAGTTCTGGCATCTTTCTCACATTCCCAAAGCTGTGTCATTGGTAACAAGTTATGTGAAATTAAGTTACAAAAGAGACATTTCAGAAGAATAAAAAGATTTAAGTGTCTCCATATTTTGTTCGCCAGTGTCAAGTACATTTCCATGTGTGCAAAAATCTGTTATTTCATTGTTCACAGACTGTTCCTGAACCTCTTCCCCACTCTATTGGTAGTAATAGGAATCTATATCTATATATATAAGAAGCTAATATTCAAAGTGTTCCAATGGGAGTTTGACTTCTATTGCTCACTATGATATGCGCTGACCACCAGAGGGCAGCGCAGAACAAAGGAAGGCCCTGGCCTGCAGCCAGCAGCCAGGAAAGGGAGGCCCCAGTGAGCAGCCAGAAGGCCCCAATAGTCCCTGATCGCTGGCCAGGCCTAGGGACCCTACCCGTGCACGAATTTCGTGCACCGGGTCTCTAGTACAGTATATAAAAGGCTAAGTGACTGGTAGTTATGATGTGCACTGACCACCAGGGGGCAGATGCTCAATACAGGAGCTGTTAAGTGACAGCAGCTTTGCAGAGTGCCCTCTTGCACTCCGGGACCCCGTGGCGGATGTCAGACTGCCCGGTTTCAGCCTGATCCCCATAGGCCAGGCCAAGGGACCCCACCAGTGCACAAAAACATGCACCAGGCCTCTAGTATTACTATAATGGTATTAATAAAGACAAATAATTACTATATATGCCCAGCACTGAACCAAACACTTCATTTATACTAACTCAATGAATCTTGTGTCAACTATCTTTGAAGTAGGAGCTATTTTTAATTCCTAATATTAAAATACGGATAAAGTCCTGGCCAGTGTGACTCAATTGGTTGAGCATCGTCCTGTGCACCAAAAGGTCCCAGCTTGATTCCTGGTCAAAGCACTTGCCAAGGTTGTAGATTTGGTCCCCAGTTGGGGTACTGATGTTTCTCTCTCCCACTCCCTTCTTCTAAAATCAATAAAAACATATGATACAGCCCTCACCGGTTTGGCTCAGTGGATAGAGCATCGGCCTGCGGACTGAAAGGTCCTAGGTTTGATTCCGGTCAAGGGCATGTACCTTGGTTGCAGGCACATCCCCAGTAGGGAGTATGCAGGAGGCAGCTGATCGATGTTTCTCTCTCATCGATGTTTCTAACTCTCTATCCCTCTCCTTTCCTTTCTGTAAAAAATCAATAAAAATATTAAAAAACAAAGCATATGATACAGAGAGAGTAAGGTCAGACACACAACTAGGAGGTGGCAGAGCCAGGATCCAAACCCAAGCAACTTGGTTCCAGAGCTCACTTTTTTAAAATTTGAATTTATTGAGGAAAACATCAGTTAATACAGAGCCCATTTTTTTTGTTGTTGTTAGTCCTCACCGGAGGATATTTTTTCCATTGATTTTTTTTTTTTAGAAGGTGTGGAAGGGAGGGAGGTGAGAAAAACATCAATGTAAGAGATACGATTGGTTGCCTCCTGCATGAACTGCGTGGGGCCAGGATGGAACCTGCAATGCAGGTGTGACATTGATTGGAAATCGAACCCGTGACCCCTTGGTGTGAGGGCTGACACTAATCACTGTAACATACCAGCCAGGGCTATGGCCCAGGCCCACTCTTATTATGCTACACTCCCTCTCAGATCAGATTTGGGTTCTATCATGTTAACCCCTCATCCTCCTCCACACACAAATGCACACAGAGAGAAACATATTCATTACAAGGTATGCTCACATACATTTCAGCATCATAAACGCTGAAGGGCAGCCCTGGCTGGTTTGGCTCAGTGGATAGAGCATCAGCCTGTGGACTGGTTTGATTCCAGTCAGGGGCACATGTGTGGATTATGGGCTCAATTCCCAGTAGGGATCGTGCAGGAGGCAGCCACTCAATGATTATCATCATTGATGTTTCTCTCTCCCTTCCTCTCTGAAATCAATAAAAATATATTTTTTAAAAAGCTGAAGGGCATAAGACACAGTGGGAGGTGGTAATATTAGGCTAGACCTATCAAAAATAGAGCAGGGTCTGAAATATGCCAGGCCCAGCCTGAGTTCACTTCTGTTTAACATGGATGTGGAGTCGCCAGCTCACTCATGTGCACGGTTGCATGGGTGACCCGAGGCAAACCAGGCTTGGTTCTATCAGCCACTCCCGCACAAGGCTCAGATGGAAAGGATGGGGAAGAACTCAGCAAAGCAAGCACACATCAGTGCTCCCTGCGGGCAGTGTGCAAGCCTCCAGGGATGGAGCATTTCAGAGGATTCACATCAAAGGCGTAATAGTGCCTGCTTCCATTTTTCATTTTCAAATATGTCATCTATTCAGAGCCTGTGCTCAATTACTGAGTAACGCTGGCAAGATACACCTAGTTGGTTTGCCATTCAGTAGAAAATTGCCAGCTACTAAGGTGGTTTTGACCTCAGATAGCTTCTTTTGTGTTTATTTTTAATACATTGTTTAATTTATAGCCAAAAATAATTGCTAAAGACTGGAAGCACCAGGAATGCTGAAATGAAAGTGAAAGGAGCACAGAAGAGATATAATTCTGCAAAATCATCCAAAGATCGCTCTTCACCTGGCATATAATCTGCACTTACTTATTATCACCTGCATTTACTTATTCTTATATACAGTGTATCAAGATGGCTCTAGAACTTGAAAGACCAACATTTGACCCGTGTAGCTTGGTTGGGCTCATCCCATGTACTGAAAGGGTTGCTGGTTCACCTAGGGTGCCAATCGCTCTCACATTGATGTTTCTTGCTCCAAAAATCAATTTAAAAAAACTTTTTTAAAAAAAGAGAGACCAGCTGGAGCCAGTTTGGCTCTGTGGATAGAGCGTCGACCTGCGGGCTGAGGGGTCCCAGGTTCGATTCCGGTCAGGGGCATGTGCCTGGGTTGTGGGCACATCCCCAGTGGGAGATGTGCAAGAGGCAGCTGATGGATGTTTCTCTCTCATCGATGTTTCTAACTCTCTGTCTCTCTCCCTTCCTCTCTGTAAAAAACCAATAAAATATATTTTTAAAAAAAGAGAGAGAGACCATAGAGTGATGATTTTATATTTAATTAGTTTTTCTCACTGGGAATAAAGACTACCTACTCATAATGTGTTCATGTTTATTTTACTTTATTGGGGTGACATTGGTTAATAACATTATATAGGTTTCAGGTATACATTTCTATAATACATCACCTGTATAATGTATTGTGGGTCACTACCAAAAGTCAATAATGTGTTAATTCTTAGAAAGTTGATTGAAAATAGCAGCCTACAGCCTTCTCATCTAATATAGAAACAAAATTCTAATTTCAGAATCAATTTTATTAATTTGGAAAAACACCAAAGCA